AGAGTATCATGATATAACTTATTATTACCTGATAATTTGAGTACATACAAATAACTGTTTTATTACGACCTAGACCTAATTTACTAGCTTGGTCTGTAGCCATGCCAAAAGTTGATAGAAAACCTGGCCTCATAGACAGCTCAGGGGCTCTTTCGGAAGCAACCTTAATAATGGTACGCCATCCCTATCTGTTATGAGAATACATAACAAACCATTAACCCTGTAAGAAAAGTATTATGATAATGAAGATTCTGATTGTGTATTTAAAGAATACATTATATTGAACAACCTCTGGAGCAGCTGATTAAGGTATTTTTTTAATTCTTCCGCCATTTTTTAATAATATAAACGTGGTTAAACAATTATATTAACATCATTTTGAAGATTTGTTGATAATATTGGTCTTGATTATTTGACAGTTCTATTCGTGGTAATACGTCAAAAGCATGTTGGTCGCCAGATGTGAATAACCTAACCCAATTGCTTCACGTCTATGTTTATTCTTCTATTATGGGCGACACGATTATTTTTGTAAATTCTCGAAAATCGTAAACGTGTGTAGGATGTTGCGATGTTTAAGGGTAGGTATTTACGCAATACGCAAAAATATTATTTCACAAATAATTATTTAATATTCTATAGTATTTTATTTATATGCCTTGTATATGTTTTGTATGTGTTTTTTTTTATCTCTGTTCTATAATAGTAGTACTGAGGCTGCATACATATCTATTACTAATTTATTGAATCTATTAATTTATGAAATATTCTATTCTTTTAAATAACATTATTTAAATTTATTTTCTGGATTAAATCGTATGAATTTAATTAATTTGTAATTATTAATTACTTTTGCATTTTAAAAAGAATGTAGCGCGCATAGGGACCATTCAAGTATTACGTAAGCAGATTTATTACAATTATTTACCCCCCCCCCTCTCCCCTTATGTCAGCAAAAGTAAGCAAAAGTTCTTACCCAAATTAAGCAAAATAAGCAAATCAATACCCCCATTCCCCGTGCTTACGTAATACTTGAACGGCCCCATACTTGTTTATCTATTTTATCGCGTTTATTGGTATTAAACGCGTTATATGCAATGCCATAGATAAAAGAAGAGTATATACAATACAATATCAATAATTGTAGCAATCGTAGATGGTATTAGTATATTGTCTAGGGTATTTGAATGATAGTTATTTTTATGCTTTTTATGCAAATCGGTTGACTAACCCTGTCTCATCTATCTTTTCAGTTTGCATGTTGGATGCAATGACCGTCATCACCTGGTTGTTTACGCACGTTTTCAGAATTTGGTTATGTCTTTTCTAACCTTAACTTATTAGCCTAGACAATATAATAATAGCTTATTAGTTTTGTTTCATTTAATAATAAAATATAAATAATTTATGATTGTAACTAATCATGGCAGTGGTATATAATTTAATATATTTAATTAAATATATCAGTTAAAAATTTAAATGTTCTTATTTTTCATATATATTATCATTCCAGAAAAAGCAAAATAAAATTAGTAAGGTCAAGCGAAATAATCAGAAAAAAAATAAACTTACTAAACAAGGAAAGATAAAAAACAAGCGAAATAAAGTCGCATTAAAAACAAATAATCAGGTTCCTCCGCCAAAAATGATGTTGTATATAGTGACTCAGAGGAGAGTGATCATGGACAAGGAATGCTCGAGATGGTGGAAAAAGATGATTTGTCTTTTTTGCAAAAAGCTGTTGCTGAGAAATCTACTTCTTATTCATTGCTTAATAAAATTCGGTAATGACTGTCATTGTATTGTAATTATATGTATTTAGATTTGATCCGTTTCTTAGCGAAGAATATTGCATTAAAATTATATTTGTAATACTTCTTTTAAAGATTTTTTTAATGAGAAAATAATATCAATAATTCTCAATAAAGATTCACTTTGGGATGTTTATTCATTTTTGTAATACGGATAAACATGTCTCATTTTTAAAACACTGCTATAGTGTAATACATATTGCAGTTGTTCATTTTGTTTTATCAAGTAGTAACGCTTTCTTCTCCATTGTTTGTTTAGACTCATTGACACATATGACGAGTCAACAAATCTAGAAGAATTTTAATCCTAAAAACTTATATTATAAAGATAAGCGCAGAACTTCTAAAAAGCAAAGTAGTTCTCATATATGGTTAAAATAATTTTGGAGTTGTTGAGAAGTCCTGTGTGTCAGCAATCTAGATTGCAAAATATTAACGGATGATGTATTTTATAATCTAGTTGAATTCTATTATTCTTTAATATTAATTCGACATTCAGGTTTAAAGATAAATGTGAGCCAATAAAACAGCGTAAGAGGAAACCAAATTTAGATGGAGAAGATAATGAGATTGAATCTCGGTATGAAGAAGAAAATGTTGATGAGAAGAACTCAAAGAGAACTAAGTTATTGCTTCCAATAAAAACAAAATCAGGTGGGTGTTAATCAAAAAGTATGAAAGGACTAGTTTATTTTTCTGAAGGTTGCAAATAAAGTGTAACCTAGCCAATACATAGGTAGTGAAAGCATTAAACTTTTATCTATCGCAAATTGTAATAGAATATTTATTTCAGGTTTGATTATGCGTAGCGTTGATGAAGAAATACCAGATGATGAAGATGAAGAAGTAAAAGAAAATATTGATCATAACATGCAAACTCGCAAAGATGATGACGATTCAGACGATGATGATATTTTTGTACTGGAAGATGACAATGAAATAGATCCTACAAAACCAGTCTCTGTTGCAGAATTATTTGCAAAACGACAAGCAGAACTACAAAAACAGAAATTTCGAATAGGAGTCTTTTGTTCAGGATTATTAGAAAGTCCTGAAAAAAAGTGAAACATTTTAATGAACTTTTGTATTTGTTGGATGACTCAAAGAATGGGACTACTAATCTGTTCACTGTAAGTTTTTGAAAATATTTAGTAGACATATATTAATTAAATTGAAGGATTTTATTATAATTTATAAATAATGATGATGAAAAATTATTATTATTTGAATTATTAAACTTATTGTTAATAAATATTATGTTTTAGATAAGAAAATTGGCAGCAGTTTCCATATTTGAGGTGTTCCGGGACATATTGCCAGAATACCAAATAAAACATCAAGAAAATACTGGTATCAAGTTAAAAAAGGATACATTGCAATTACAAAGTTATGAAACAACTCTGCTAAATTACTATAAAAAATACTTGCAAAAACTTGAAAAAATGACTGCTCCATTAAAAAAAAAGCTAGGAAAAAAACTAACCGATTCTGATAAAAAGTTGGCTGAAATTGCTATTCGCTGCATGTGTTCATTATTAGAGTCACATCCCTATTTTAACTTTTCACAAAACATTGCAAAGATGTTAGTACCTTTTTTGAATCATAATCTGGAAAATATTAGAGCTATGATATGTAATTGTTGCAAAACAATATTTAAGAATGATAAACGAGGAGATATTTCTTTAGTAGTAAGTTTGATAACATTAAAACACCATTGTCATGAGTCACATATGATCTCATTATGGTGGTGTTTTATTTCAAAATACTTCTATATATATATTCTTTGTTTTATGTATATTATTTTCTCAATATTTAGATAGTTCGTGCAATTAACCATCTTTTGAAAGCACAGTCTCATGATGTATACACAGATGCTTTAGCTTGTTTATTAGCATTACGAATTCAAGATGTCAATTTAGATGCTGAAAAAGAAGAAGAAATACGCCAAAAGAAATTTATGACTAGAAAACAAAAGTTATTAAAACTCTCCAAGCGTGAAAGAAAACGTAATAAGAAGTTAGAAGAGCTGGAGAAGGAAATGTTAGAAACAAAAGCTGAAGAGAATAAGCAAGCAAAGCAAAAACAAATGACGGAAATAACCAAAGTGTTATTTACTATATACTTTAGAATTTTGAAGAGGGCCCCAAATTCAAAAGTTTTGAGTGTGGCATTAGAAGGATTATCAAAGTAAGTTTATTCATTTACATTTTTTAAATTTTGGAAATATCTGTTTTAAAAAAATATTTTAATTTTTTGTCTTTATTATTAATACAGTTTTTTTTCTGGTTTGAACTGTTGAATGACAGTATCTATACTTAATGTCTTGAATGTGAATAATAAATGTTTTTTATGCAAGTGTATTAATTATCAATTAATATTTTCAGATTTTCCCATGTAATAAATCTGGAATTATACTCAGATTTAGTTGATGTATTGAATTCATTAATGCAACCAGGTGATGATGATGATGATGAAAAAAGAGTGTTGAATCACAGAGATCAACTGATGTGTGTGCAAACTGTATTTTCTGTATTGTCAGGGCAAGGAGAGTGTTTGAATATAGATCCTTTGAGATTTTATACACATTTGTACAGAAACTTAATGCACATTAATGCAGGTTGGTATTTATTGAAGAACGATAAACAAGTAGATATTGCTTTAGTGCTAATTTTGATAATATTTAAAACATAACTGCAATTAGTCAAACATCTTTTTACTATAGTTGTTTCATCTGAAAATATTCTTATTTAAATATGTCTATCATTTTGCAGTAATTCCAATCATTATTTGTTTTGTTTAAATTCTAAGTGTTTTATTAATGAGAATTATCAAATATATTATTTACAGTTTAGTATTATAGATAATGCAATATTTTAAAATAAGTTAATATTATTGAATTTATATTTTAGGTCGAACAAATATTGATTTAGAAACTGCTGTTAAGACATTATGTCATGTTTTGATTAGAAGACGAAAACAACTATCCCAACAAAGACTCCTTGCATTTTTGAAGAGATGTATGCAACTTTCATTACATCAATTACATAATGGAACCATATCATTACTTGGTGTTATAAGAACTGTGATGCAACAGGTAAAGTAATTATCTGTTTTGGGATTTGGAATTCTAGCATGTATATAGAAGCTGAAAATTTTATATTATTATATTTATTTTTCAGGGCAAAAATTCAGATTTGCTATTGGACACAGATAATACGTTAGGTACTGGAAAGTATGATCCGTATCTAGATGAACCTGAATTTTGTAATGCAAGTAGCACGGCATTATATGAACTATCTATTGCTAGTAGACATTTTCACCCAATAGTTAGGAAGGTATATTTAGATATATTTCAATAATATTTTATGCACATATTAAAAACATTTTTTTGTTGTATAATGTACATTATTTTATCTTTTTTTCAGATGGCCGTTAATATTGCTTCTAATGTTCCAGCAACTGGTGAAGGCAGTCTTGCACCAGATCTAGGAAAACTGTAAGGCTTCTAAGAAATGTTTTCATTTAATGAATGTACAAAAAAATATATTTTTTTTTGCTTTCAGGTCCCCAGAACAATTGTTAAAGGAATTTGATGGCAGCCAAATGTGTTTTAATCCACCTGTTCCACCACCAAA